ATTGAAGGACCCCATAGGGTTTCCAAAGTTGTAAATCCTCACGAAAGCAGACTGCCACATCGGGCTCCCTCAGAGAGGCTGGTAGGTTTGAACCACTGACCTTGTGGTTATTAGCCAGGCACCTCACCACTGCACCACCAGGGCTCCTGGACATAGTTCTAGAAGTGCTCTTACTAGAACTCTTGTTAAGTGTTGTCAAGCCAGTTCTCATTCACAGTGACTATAAGGTTTCCAAGGAGCAGCTGGTGGATTTGAGCCGTCGACCTTGTACCACACCAAGACCCCCAGAACTGTCGGGATAGAATGGGAAATTTCACTTGCCCCCACTACAATATAAAGGCATCTGTTAGTAATGACAAAAAGCTGACCCCAAAGCATTGTTCCTGGGGTAAGGAAAAGGAAAAGAGTTAGTACAGGGTCGCTATGGGTCGGAACCGACTCGACGGCACTTAACAACAACAACAACAACAATAGGGTGGGTAGCTGTGAGCCTTTCAGCTGGGGAAATGCTTTACTGTATACATAATCAGCTTCATCCTACACTGGGGCTCCATTCGAGCTGGCCCATCCCATTCTGCTCCCCTCCGTTTTGATCCTCCAGTCAGCTGTGGAGTTATAGGTGAAGGACTGCTTTACCATCAAGGTACCTTGATGGTACCCAGATGCCTGGAGTAAGGCAGGGGCAGAGAGGCCCCGCATGCGCAGCAGCACCCACTGAAGACTCAAGGGAATCTGAAACTCGGACACCTCTGATGCTTTCAGGACCGCCTGGTGTTGCATTCTGTGACCCCATGTCACTAAATGACGCCCCTGTGGAGAGAAGGCCGAGAAGTGCCTTCAGCTAAGGGAAGGAGGACTGAACTCGTTGCAGCGTTTGACCTGAAACCGAGCCCCGTCACTATTATTACTGCAAGTGGGGATTCAGAAAGAACAAGCCTTGGGAAGGGGTGTGAGCATCCTGTGTGTGCAGCAAATAGGACACGTCACTTCCTGCATTAGCAGGCACCCGCAGAATGGGGTCCTGCACCCTTTCCCCAAGTTTTCCATCCCTGGTTTCTATAACTGGGGGCCATGGATCCCTTCCGAAATCTCTTTCTTTGATTGAGGGGACCCTGTGATTCAGGCATCGGTGGGACTTGTGCAGGTGCCTGGTGCTGAGAGGTGGCAACTGGCCATGTACACTGTAGAGCCTGCCCAGGCCCACACCCCACGCAGAAAGTCAAGGCTGACATATTGTGTTGCTGCTCTGGGCTCTATAAAACTGTAATAGTCTCATATTATTTGAATCGGCTGAAATACAAGCCCCAAAGTAGAGAGACCCCAGCAGCAGGATTGCACATCTGAGGAAGTGTTTGACATGATTCATTTGTCTGAAGCTATGATAATGCCTGTATCCAATTAACTCTGGTGCTGACAGTCTAGTGTTAATGAGGCCAAGGTTGTGGGTTTGTGCCCTGTTAGGTGAGCTGGTTTCACACGCAGAAAAGCTCTTTTCATAGTTCATACCATGCCCCACGTCCAAGTCAGACACCCCATAAAAGCATGTGGATCACAAGGAGGACTGGGTGAGGCAGTAGACTTGACTCTGCAAATCTCCCTTCACCCCATTTCTGGAAAAGCAATTTAAAACACATGCTTTAGGGATTGTGGATTATTACTGTGATCTCCACACACAAAGGTGGTCACATTATTATTAATGGTAATTGTGGATCAAGACGACTGCAAGGTTTCCTTCCTGAATCAAAGAGTGAAGGAAAGAGAAAGGTTCTTTGGTCTCCTCCTCTCACTCTTGGCTTTGTGCCTACTGAGTTCCTGTCTGTGCGTGCATCCACCAAGGGTCTGCCAGGCACTGTTCTTGGTGCCCAGAATGCCAGCGTAAATAAGACAAGAAAATAGTCAATAAGTAAATAAACAATAACCCAAATAATTTCTAATAGTGCAAGTTTGGTAAACAACGTCAAAAGATGAGGGGATGTGATGGAGACTGAAAGTTGGGGATGCTGTTGGCCTGAGAATCTTACTTTGCATCCGAAGGTCTGGGGAAGGAGCCTTCGCATTCAAGCAGAGACTCGACTGGCAAGAACGTGCCAGGTTTCTGAAGAAGTTGGAGAAGAAACATAAAGGGTTAAGGAACAGGCAGGAAAGTGGTGTGGGGCAGTATGGTAGAGGCGAGGCTGGAGAAAGGGTAGGTTCTGTAGGTCAGGGTAAAGAATTTGGATACTTTTCTTAGTGTGATAGGAAGCCTTTGTAATAAAAAATATATATATATTAATTTGGGTGCAGGCCATTTAAAAAAAGATTTGTTTTGTTTTTGGTGGTGTGGATTACTATCACTCTAGCTCTTGAGAAGGGCGGCTGATCCATCCTTCCTGAGCTTGACACTAGGGTGTAGGGGGAGCTGTGTTGTACTATGTATCTGTTTATATGGAGATAAATGTATAATGTAAGCCATAACCTTAATATTAGAAACGGATGTCATAGAGCAGAGCCCACTGGTTGATTTGCTCCGTGCGAAAGTCCTTTCAGGGATATGTTGTAAATACTGGTTTGCAAGGGCAAGGTGGAAACAAGACAGGTTGGAAGCCTGGGGACCTAGGCAAGGCATGACTGTAGTTTGACCTGGGGCGTGGCAGTAGAGAGGGTGTGAGGTAGTCCAAACCAGCGGGACTTACTGATGGATTAGATGTGGTCAGGGAGAGGAAGGGAGGAATAAAGGCTGGCCCTTAGTTTGAGCAATGGGGTGAATGATTTACTGAAGTGGAGAAGACAGAGTGGCTTGAATCAAGAATTATGTTCTGAACATGTTACGTTTGAGATATTGTTTATTCAGGTGGAGATGTTAAGTATTATCCTGAGAGCTGGTTATTTCAGGAAAGTGCAGATCTACAGATAAAAATTTAGAGAGAGAGTTTAATGAAGAGAAGAGAGCCCTAGACTGAGCCCTCAGAACTCAGGCAGGTAAAGGATGAGAAACCAGCAGAGGAAATGGAGAAGAGGCACCAGGAGCTACTGGTAGATTCTCAGTCCTTGTTGATAGTAAGGGTCTTCTCTCTTTAGGGCTACGCTGAATAACTCCTGGGTTGCCGTAAGTCAGAAGAGACTAGACAGCATTGTTTGTTGTCTGTTTCTGTTACACAGGGACATATGGGGGAAAGTGTTATTGGTACTTTTCCCTCAATATCCAACACTCGTTGGTTAGTTGTACTGTACAAAAGCATTGGAATATGTGGATCATAACAAAGTATGGATAACATTTCAAAAAATGAGGGTTTCAGAACATTTCATTGTACTTAATGCAGAACCTATACGTAAACCAAGAAACACTAATTCAAACAGAACAAGGGATACTGCATGGTTTAAAATTAGGAAAGGTGTATGTCACAGTTGTATCCCTTCACCAGACTTAGTCAGTCTATATGCAGAGCAGATAAACCTGGAAGCTGGATTATATGAAGAAGAGTGTGACATCAGGATTGGAAGAAGACCCATTAACCTGTGATAAGTAGTTGACACAAACTTGGCTGCTGGAAACGAGTAGGACTTGAAGCACTTGCCGATGAAGACCAAGGACTGCAAGTTTCAGTATGGATTGCTCCTTAACGTAAAGAGAACAAAAAACATCACAACTGGACCAATTAATAACAGTATAGTAACTGGAGAAAGCATTGAAGTTCTCAAAGACGTCATTTTGCTTGGATCCACAATCAATGCTCATGGAAGCAGCAGTCAAGAAATAAAATGATGTATTACTTTGGGCAAATCTGCTGCAAAAGACCTCTTAAAGTGTTAAAGAGCAGAAATGTCCATTTGAGGACTAAGGTGTGCCTGCCCCAAGCCATGGTATTTTCAGTCACCTCATGTGCATTTGAAAGGTGGACAATGAATAAGGAAGACCAGAGATTGATGCATTTGAGTTATGGTGTTGGTGAGGACTATTGGAGGTACCATGGACTGTTAAAAGAACAAGCAAATCTGTCTTGGAGGAAGTACAGTCAGAATGTTCCTTAGAAGTGGCTTTGGTTCACATCCTTTGAACATGTTATCAGGAAGGATCAGTCCCTGGAAAAGAACATCGTGCCTGGTAAAGTAGTGGGACACTGGAAAAGAGGAAGACCCTCAGAGAGATGGATTGACAATGGCTGCAACAGTTGGTTGGAATGTAACAATTGTTACATTCCAGGACGGTGCAAGACCTGGATATATTTTGTTCTGCATAGGGTCACTATAGTTTGGAATCAACTCGAGGACACCTAACAACAACAGCTTCCAGTATTCCAGAGCTGTTTAATTCAGTAAGACTCTATTAGAAATCAAGTGAACGTGTGTAACATGTTACAGATTGTAGAACTGGACAAATCTCCTATATTTTAGACTTCCTCTGGATCATACAAAGGTGTGAACACTCACAAAAAATAGCTGCTTTCTTTAGAAAAAAGAGACTTGTTAGATTTTTATAATCACCAAAATCTAGAGCAAATTAGGGCAGTTGACTTACAGGGAGCTCTGGTAGCGTAGTGGTTACGAATCGGGCTGCTAACCTCAGGGTCAGCAGTTTGAAATTACCAGCTGTCCCGTGGGGGAAAGATGAGGCTTTCTGCTCCCATAAAGATTTACAGCCTTGGAAACCCTCTACAGGGTCGCTAGAAGTTGGAACCGATTCCACAGCACATAACAACAACAACAACAATGTATTTCTCATTGTGAGTTCACTAACCTGTTTCATAATGGAACCTGTTTCATTAATCATGTACGGGCCAATTCAATAAGCTATTCCTTTACCTTACCTGAAATTCCCAAACCAACACACGAAGTTTGGTAGAAAATCAGAATCCGCATCTGTCTGTTAACATTGGCCGCAGAGTAGGACCTGAGTAACAGGAACATCCTCAGAAGCTCTCCTTCATCCTGACCTTAGTTTGTGAAGGTTTTAACCTAGGCACAGCTCTGTAGTGATTGATGTCTGAGCTGGGACTTGACTGTTGATGTGTTTTTGTTTTTAGGTCTGGCGTGAATTCCCAGATCGCTTGGTGGGTTACCCAGGCCGTCTGCATCTCTGGGACCATGAGATGAGTAAGTGGAAGTATGAGTCTGAGTGGACAAATGAAGTGTCCATGGTCCTCACAGGGGCAGCGTTTTATCACAAGGTAAGTGAGAAGGCTTGAGTCAGATGGATGTGTGTTGACAGACAGCATGAGCCTTACTTTATTTGGCCCAATTTCACTTTCCATACCACCACCTGTTGAGGAATTTAGAAAAAAAATTTTATCTGTAAAAGTAATATAGCCTCAGAGTAGGAAGTATGGAAAATTCCAGAAAATAAAATGAGAGTCACTTGTAACCCTGTTACCTAGCAGTAACCATTCTTACTGGGTTTTTTTCTTTTTTCCAGTTGTGAATATTCTCACTGGTTTTCTTTTTTTATGTATCTGATTGTGAACAGTTCTCATAAAATGAGAAAAAAATATTTCTCATAGTCCTTAGGAAGAGTCCACATTTCCTCATAACTTTAACATTGTTGATAATATGAATGTACCATTATTTATGTATAACCATACCTCTGTCGTTGGGTATCTAAGTTATTTCTAATTTGTTTGTTATTTTAAATAATGCTATTGTATCCTAGAAGTAGAGTCACTATATCAAAGGGTATGAGCATTTTGGGGTTTTTTAATCTATATTTGACTATTGTTTTCAGTGTTTTTTTATGCCAATTTATACTCCCATCAACAAAATGTGAACTATCTTACCTTAACTTCCCTTGTGTAAATTTATGATAAAATAATTTTAACTTAGCTATTTTGATGAGAGGAAGTGATACAAGTTTAATTTTACTGAGTTACTATCAAGTGCCCTGTCACTCATGACGCCCCCCTAAGTAAGTGTCAGGGTAGACTTTTGCTCCGTAGCATTTTCAGTGGCTGGTTTGTTAAAGTAAATCCACCAGGCCTTTCCTTCTGCGGCACCTGTGGTGGGAGGACTTGAACCTCCAGCCTTTCAATGGTGAAGTGGCAGTCCTTTTTCTGTAGCTGTTAGTCTTCACACTTCTAGGAATTGGCAGCTGGAGCATTTGACTCTTTTTCTATTAGGGAGTGATTGCGTAGTATGCATTTGCTTTTAGGCTTTTTGGTTTGATGGTAGAGTGCCTGTTGGGAGGGCATGGTTAATGTGTGGTGTAAGAGACAAGCTGTCGGTCGTGGCACAAGAACTGACGTCAGGAGAAAGATCTGTTCAGTTCACAGTGGCTCTTTAATTTAGCGGTATCTGTATTGGAGTCCTGGTGTGGTGCTTGTAGGATAAGCACTGGACTGCAAGGTCGGTAGTTCAAACCCACCATTCGTTCCTCGGAAACCCTATCCAGGGTCACTATGAGTCAGAACTGACTTGACGGCACTTAACAACAACACTGAGCACTTAGCATGTCTACCCTCATATTTTTCAGAGCTTAAGTCCAGAGGTGAGTTTTTATTCTCGGCAAAACAAGGAAAAAAAACACTAAGATTTATAATTTTTGGGATTTGCAATAGTAGTATGTTTTTGTTTGTTTGTTGCACAGGAATTTTTACTTATTTCTTACATGTAGGTTATGGCTGTTTCAGAATTGTCGCATTTTTGTTCTGCTTTAAAAAGCACATACCTGACCTACACCTATGGATGCAGTAGCTCAAAAGAGGGAACAAATCCTTACAGCAAGGATCATTCCCACCCCCTCCATGCACAGAGTAGACAGGGATGGGCAACTTGGACTTTGGCTACCCAAAATTGGGGGGTGGCTACAAAGGCAAGAAGGGACTGGCTTACAAACTTTCAAGAGGGAACCTAGATTCAGAGGGTATAAAGGAAGGTAGACTCTCCACTGAGTAGTATCCAATCTGTCTGGGCAGGGCTGATGAAAGAAAATGCAGATGGGTCTCTTGTGATACAATAGTGAATAATTGTTATTAGGACGGCTTGTGAGGGTTGGAAATGTAAAGGTAGACATTTTTTGTAGCAAGGAGGGGAGTGATTAACTTTTCAGTCTAGGAGCGGAAGTCCTGGGACCATCAAGGGAGAAGAGTGGAGAGCTGGACCCTACCCAAAGAAACAATGATGCCTAAGATGGAGGCAGAGACAATGACGTGGAGAGATGGAGCAGTTAGGGACTTTAGACACAGAGAGGGAGAGGGACTGTGTGCTGACGACTGGGGGACAGGCTTGTAGTGTATACCCTTTGGTTGGTTGATAATGCATGGAGGGGATTGTAACCATGGCAGTGAGACGATATACGATATACGATAGGATGAATGTAAAACTAATGTTCTCCTATGTAAACTATCACATAATTCACAATAAAACATTTAAAAAAAAAAAAAAAGCACATACCTTTGCAATGTTGTTCCGCTGTTGCTCGCGGTTTCTGTTTACAATCTGGGGAGAGAAGATAGGATGCAGGTGTGAAACAGTGTAACTTGAGGGGAAGGAGTCAGTAAAAGATGATGTGTGTCCGTGACAAACCTTTATCAAACGCATGATTCCTCAATCAGTCTGAAGGCACTGTATCCTACCACGGCGCAGAGAAGGATTCTATTAATGATGTTTGACCCTTTGGATTAGTAACACAACAGCCTTGTGATTAATCTTCTAAGAGAGAGCATCTCTGTACCATGACTCGGGTACCCATTATATGCAGCCAAAGGAAGCTGCCCCTGAAATGTTTCTTCTTTTTGTGTCCCTTCGCAGTATTTTAACTACCTGTATACCTACAAAATGCCTGGGGACATCAAGAATTGGGTGGACGCTCATATGAACTGTGAGGACATCGCGATGAATTTCCTGGTGGCCAATGTCACAGGGAAAGCTGTCATCAAGGTAGGAAGTGTCCTTGTCTCACTCCGTCACTTGCTTTGCTTTGTGATCTTGAGGAAGCTTCTGGCTGTGCCTCGGAGCCTGAGAGGTTGTTGTCACAGGACATAAAGTATAGGACGTCGTGAACTTGAGCCCTCAGAGTATGGTTGACTCTTTAGCAATTTAAAATTGAAGCTAAGTTTTGCAAATTTAAATAGGTTTTCTTTAAAAAAAAATTATTTAGTTTCAACTTTTAGTATCAAAGAGAAAGGCTGTGATAGTTAACCCACAAATGGTATTTTCAAAGAAAATTTCATGTATTCACACAGCTAATTTGGAATCTGTTTCTGTCAGCTAAAGGACTCAGTTTATATCTTTCTTAAGGTTGCCAGTTTTTTTAATAGATGTTGAGCAGGCAGTGGATCCTGTACAACTGTAGTTGTTCTAAACTAGTTTTTTAGGCGCTCTAGTGGTATAGTGGGATTGTGTGGCCTCCGAACTGCAAGATTAGCAGTTCGAATCCACCAGGTGCTCCACAGAAGAAAGATGAGGCTTTCTGCTCCTATAAAGATTTACAGCTTCAGAAACCCTATACAGGATCACTGTGAGTTGAAACCGACTCGATGGCACATCACCACCACAAGCATTGTTTTCAAATCTTCATGACCAGTTTTTTAAAGTACCTTTCCCGTTACGTATTAAAAGTAAGCATCCATAGGGTCCTCTTTGTTTCTGTAACTATACGTTTACTTATTTCTGAAATACAGACTTTGCTTAGTTAGATCAGATTCCCAGCTGTGTAGAGAAAGTGCCCATTTTTGTATGTGTGGAATCATCTGGACCTTTTTTCCTTCTGGATTAGAATTCCCGGGGTGAAAATGGACAGAGCTTCTTGGCCAGACTCCAGGGTATGGCTTTCCACCACTGGTTCCTCATACCAAGAAGCCAGATTAAAGCAAGAGAAGAGGAAAAGTCACTGTCTGTACTCCCTGAACTTGACCTCCCTAGCTAGTCATCACTCAGCGAACAGCTGACTGGAAGGAAAGTGAAAGAATGCAAATTGTGAGGCTTGTTTTAAAGGGACTGCCCTCTTCCCCAATTTCTCTTTCTGTTTCTATCTGTGGCTGCTTCCTTTGGGCAGTAATTCCTGGAGTGTATATGCGGACCTTAGTCTGACCATAGTGACCTAGTTTGATTTCCCTCCTCTCCGTCTTCTGTTGTATCTAGTCTCACTAGGTTAGAATAGCAGCCTTCTCCAGGTTAGTAGTTTAAGGTTTGGGAGGAGAGCAGCGGGGAGCAAGGGCTACCAACTCCAAGGGTAAGGGAGGGACTGTCAGATTTCTTTCTGGAGCCAGGGGAACAACACACTAACCTGGTGTCTTCAGGAGCGTGGCATTCTCGTAGTGTTTGCCCCGCTGGAGGAAGGAGAAAGACGCCTGTTGGAACTGAGGTTACGGTGAAAGTTATGGGAAGCTGTATTTCATCGCCCTATGGCTGCAAGAACAAATGGTGTTTATACAAGGGCCTTGGCAGTGCGAAAACAGTCATTAAACAGGAATTAAGGAGCTTGTCATCACCACTGCTTTCCAGTTACAGAAGGCGAAAGCCCTCCAAGCCCTTTTTATTGGGCCCTTGGGAGTTCTGCTGGTGGCTGAGCCAGGCGGAGTGGAATGGAGGAATGGCGAGGTGTGTGCATGTGTGCACCCAGAGAGAACCTGCAGATGGTATCACGGCACACGGTTACTGTCTTTGGCACTGACAGCCCATGTGGTTTTGTGCTCCTTCGGCAGGTCACCCCACGAAAGAAATTCAAGTGTCCCGAGTGCACAGCTATCGATGGACTTTCGCTAGACCAGACACACATGGTGGAGAGGTGAGTGGGCCTGCAGCCAGCAGGCAGCCAAGCCCTGATCCCCATTTCCTGCCTTGGGCCTGTTTATGGGCCTTGGTTGGGGATGTAAGGACAGCAGCTGGTAGCCACAGCCACTTTTCTTTACCCTGTGGGAATTGGGTTAGTTCAAGCCCAGGTCACCCAAAGAATTAATTTGGAATGCTTCTCAATCAATTTGTAATGGCTGGAAGGGTCTTAAAAATCCAGCAGGCCCTAAGCTCCAGGAACCAGCTTCTCCAAACCGTTAACCGTCTACAGTCATTTGAGGGGAGTTGGTTAATTCTAAGGAAATACTGGATTGGATTGGAGGGTAATATGCCCTCGTTTTAGTGGAGGCTTGATTGGAAATAATTAAATCAAGCCCACCAGAGACAAATTACCTTTGCTGGCACTCCTAAAACACCTGCCAGGAACAGGACTGAAAACAAAGCTCTCTACATTTCAGAGCAAAAACAAGCAGGGCAGCTCTGAAATGTTCCCTTTATTTCTCTTCCATTGTTTCTTCAACAAGTGCACCTGTGACGGTGAGTCTAGAAGATGGGAGACTGTGCCTTCCCATAAGACCACTGTGATCCTGAACTGAACCTTGGCGCGCATGTGCATCCCACCTGAATCGAATCTACTTCTTCCAACGGCTTCTCCCTACCCAAAACAGCAAGCCCTCAGCCTCCTAGGCAGCCCCTGGGTTACCGAGAGATCAGTTTCTAACTGTTGTCTTTAAGAAATTGCAGGTGAATTGGATACTGTTTGTATTTAACCTTACTTTAGTGCAAGAAAAGGCTCGAAGCCTTTTCAGTGTTTTAAAAACTGCACGTGCAGTAAGTGAAGGTGATAGTGAGTAATTTGTTTTGTGTAGGGGTTGGTTCAGTCGTTTCAAAGTGAGGGCAAACTTAACATGAAGTCAAAGAACAAGTACGAGTGGGTTGTCCGTAAATTGGATGTTTATCACCCAGGGGCTGCCTGTATGGTCTAGCTAGGTACCAGGTATTTTCGGGGAGTGCCCTAATGGCTGTAATTGAATGAGATGTCCAGGCCAAGTTACCCTAGGTCATAAGGTGCACCTGCTCCCAGCACTCGTGTTGAAACCTCTCAGCCCTATGAAAACCTTCCAGGCCTGGAGGATTGTTTATACGGAAATTGGTCTGTTGGCCTGGATTCTTCTATAAATAAGCCTTTATTCCCTAATTGTTCTCTCAGTAATCTCTGTCCTATATAAATATCTTACTCCAAGGACATGGCTCTTAGTAACTATCTTCTATGTGAAATAATATATTGTGATTTTGGAAATCATCTGCCCTGGGTATCATAAGTCTCTCACACTTCCAGGCAGTGATATTAATTACAATAGATCATTCTAGAAGAGACCTCAGATTTTTAAACCAGCCATTCACTCTGTTAGGGGAGAATCCCAAGTGCTAGTCTTCAGTTGCCCTGGAACTGATTTGGCTTCATGATGACCCCTTCCATGTGTCTCAGACTGGAAGTGGGTGCCATAGGGTTCCAGTGGCTGCGTTGGCCGAAGTAGACCCCCAGGCTTTTCTTTCGAGGCCCCTCTGGGTGAATTTGAACCTCCAGGTCTTTGGTTAGCAGTCAGGCATGTTCCTGTTTACACCAGCCAGAAACTCTTGTCATTAGTTGGGGGTCTGTGGTCCAGGGACAGAGAGTGGGGAGAAAAGTTGACAAATTCATGCCAAGGCTTAAACAACTCTTCTCTAGCTCCATGAGCTCCTCACAGATACACAGAGACGAGAAGTGCAGTTAGGGATTTCAGTTCGGTGTATTATTACTATTATTTATTATTATGTACTGAAGAAAGTGGGTAAGGGAGAAAGGGAGGTGTCCTATTTGGAGACCTTTGAAAATAAGGTAGGCAGTTGCTTAGACTTTATTAGGTATTAATCAGATCATTTCCCCCAGTTTTGCAGATGCAAAAACTGAGGTTCAAATAGGCTATGTTTCCGCAAAAAATTAAACATTGTAAGGCGTTCTGGTAGTGTTGTTGTTGTTCTTGTCAGGTGCCATTGAGTCGGAACCGACTCATAGCGACCCCATGCACAGCAGAACGAAACAATGTCCGATCCTGGGCCAACCTCACTACCGCTGCCACACTTGAGTCCATCAGTGATGCCACCTGGCTGATCCATCTCGTTGGGGGTCTTCCTCTTTTTCTCTGACCCTCCATCTTACCCAGCATGACATCCTTCTCCAGCAACTGTTCCCTCCGGACAATATGTCCAAAGTATGAGAGACAAAGTTTAGCCATCCTGGCCTCCAAGGAGCACTCTGGCTGCACTTCTTCCAAAACAGATCTATCGGTTCTTCTGGCAGTCCATGGCACTTTCAGTATTCTCCTCCAACACCATAACTCAAAGACATCAATTCTTCTACGATCTTCCTTATTCACTGTCCAGCTTTCACATCCATATGAGGTTATTGAAAATACCATGGCTTGGGTCAGGCACACCTTAGTCCTCAAGCTGACATCTCTGCTCTTCAATACTTTAAAAAGTTCCTGTGCAGCAGATTTGCCAAGTGCAATACGTCGTCTGATCTCTTGACTGCTGCTTCCGTAAGTGTTGATAGTTGATCCAAGAAGAATGAAGTCCTTGACAACTTCAGTCTTTTCTCCATTGATAAGAATGTTGTTTATTGGTCCAGTGGTGAGAATTTTTGTTTTCTTGACATTGAGATGAAATCTATACCGAAGGCTGTGCTCTTTGATCTTCATAAGTAAATGTTTCACTGGTAGTGTAGTGGTTAAAAAAAAACAACAAAACACTAAACATTGAATTACCACGTTAGTTGCCATCAAGTTGATTCTGACTCCTGGCGATCCCACGTATGCAGAGTAGAACTCTAGGGTTTTCAAGGGTATGACCTTTTGAGAGCAGGACCCCAGGCTTGTTTTTCAAAGCACCTGTGCATGGGAATGAACCGCCACCCTTTAGGTTCAGAGGTGAGCATATTTGGGTCAGTGGGGTGGGGGGCTGGGGTGGTGGTGGTGGTCGTGGGGTGTGTGTGTGTGAGAGAGAGAGAGAGAGAGAGAGCCTCAGCCGCTCTGCTGGAGAAAGATGAGCCTTTCTGCTTCCATAAAGATTTACTGCCTCAGCAACCCTACAACCACCACCTGATCAATATATATTCTCTCTCTCTCCCTATATATCTCTGTATGTATATGTACATACATACGCATAGAGTCCTGGTGTGGTGCTGTAGGATAAGCATGGCACTGCTAACCACAAGGTTGGTGGTTCAAACCCACCAGCCACTCCTCAGAAACCCTACAGGGTCACTATGAATCAGAACTGACTTGATGGTGCTTAGCAACAATTAAGCACTTAGTTGCTAACCAAAAGGTTGTTAGTTGGCACCCACCAGCCTCCATGGGGAAAGGGTGTTGCAGTCTGCTTCCATAAAGATTTGCAGTCTTGGAGATTCTGAGCCAGTTCTGCCCTGTTCTGTAGAGTCGCTATGAGTCAGAACCAACTCAGTGGGTTTTATACATAACTGTGGGTTAATGTGCTGGACTGCAAAGTCAGTTTGAACCCCAGGGTCGGCGGTTCAAGCTCACCAGCTGCTCCTAGGAAACCCTACACAGGGTCACTATGGGTCCAAACTGACTTGCTATTGCTAGCCTTTACCACCACCAACACAACAAACTAAAGTTATAAATCATAAGTACCATGAGGACTTCCAACTCAGGTTGGCAGTCACTCAAAAAGTGACTGGGGAAGAGCTGCCTCCTCACAGTAGAGTTAACCGTAATGATGTGAATCAAGAAAAGCCTGTGGGACCTTCATTTACTGATGGGGCACAACTCAAAATGAAGAGAAACAGCTGTAAACATCCTTTGAAAATCGGA